AATTTAGATATCACTCTAACGCAATTCGCGAGTTAACCAACGTTACCAAATACAAAAGCCTAGGCTCACAACTCTTGACTTGATGCAATTCTTTTTTTGGTCTCGTTAAATTGTTAATAATCTCAATATATTTAAAACTTTAATCAATTAAATTAACTCATCGATGGATAACATTTTTTAATTAATACTATAGGGTTGAAATTTGATGCACGTCATTAAGTCCATACCCCAAGAAGCAGAAATCCTCAACTCCTTCGACCAGCGCAATAGTCCTTACCTTTTATTGGCTGAATATTCACAAAAATTCTTTCTTATAAGCCAATTTTGACAAAAGCATTTAGTAACATGCACTAATTGCAACTATCCACATATATAGCATTGCGGTCATTGTTATAAATATCTTTTTTCTTTTTCAAAAAAAATTAAAATATCAGTGTTTCTTTCTAAATTTAATAAATGTATGTATAAGGGATAGCGCTCATAAAACCGTTCCCTAGAACGTTCACGAGTCTATTTATTGATGCCATTTACTCTTGAATTTATTAAAGCATTACCATTTGGTGTTATTAATGATTAATATCTCTCAAAATAATTATTCTATCCTTTCTTCTTACAAAAAATTGTTTAAGGAATTAATAGGAAAAAAGGGATGAGTAATTAAGTAATTATATTTCTGTGCACTAGAATTTCATCAAATAATATATGATTGTTGTTTTTTGTTTGCAAAATAGACTTTATTAAGTGAAGTCATATACTAATGATCGAGATTTATGCATCACCGAAACATATGGTTGAGGGAGATTTTAAACATGGCGGTGCCGCGCATGTGTGAGACAATTAATCGAGTAGTTGTAATGACGTCTAAATGTGTTCAACGAACAAATAAAAAAAAGAATTCTTCACTTTTGGCGAGGTTTAAAACCTCGTTGTGGAGAATTTAGGGACTAGATAATTTAGGTCTCCCTTCGCTAAATCACCACCTTGGCAGGCCACTTAAATGATACAACATGATCGCACAAGCTGTCTATTCACCAAATTTGCTCTCGCGAACCATAGGAATCCACCAAAAGGAACAAAAGAGAACAAAAAGAAAGATGACAGGGGACCTATCCCAAGAATGAAACTTTATTCAATAACTCTATTGTGTTTCAATGAAGGTCCGGGGTATTTATATTTGAGAGCCTAGAGCCCTTTGAGTAACCTCTAAAGGTGCATTTCATTCACTAAAAACTTCCTGATAAAGAAAAATATTTCCTTCCTTTTCTCCCAATCTAAACCACCAAACAAATGAAAACTAGCAGTTTTTTTTAAAGATTTCCTGAAAAGAACTTCCCCTAATCTAAGCTTGTGATTTTCATTTCATGGAAAATATTTTTTTTTACAGAATGATTAGTTTTCTGTCATTCAAACACCAAAAAGTCTGAAAATAATTTCCTGAAAATAATTTTCCTTCAAACAAACAGACCCTTAAATAAAGAAAATGTAACATCAAAAATATGAATTTCAAATAGGCAACAATGTTATTAAATTCATAATCTAAATAAAATAATCCTAAGAAATCCAAAAAATAAATTGAGAATCAGGAAAATATATATCATTCCTAATATTCTAATAGAAAGAGATAATCTTGAGATCTCCAAAATATTACCCAGGTCATTTTCCTTCGTTGGAGTATACTGTCCTTGAGGCCAATCTTCATCAAGCTCTTGGTTTTCATGATATGGTCATAGATCAGCAACATTGAATGTACCGGAAACACCATGCCGTCCAGGAAGTTCAATGTTCTAGCAAATATCGTTGGTGCACTCCAAAACTCGAAAAGGACCATCCCCTCAAGGAGATAACTTACCATGACAACCCGGTGAAAATTGAAAACACAAGATCACCTTTCTCGACGGCGATACTTGTCGATTTGCTCCGAAATTCTTTTCCTTGCTTCCTCATATAACTGTTTGATTTCCTTAGGCCCCTTCTTCAGCGTCTCCACTAAATTGACGCCCTGTGGGAGATGGAATAAAGATCAAGAGGACTCAAATGTTGCTTTCCGAACACAGCTTCAAATGGGCTTTTTCCGGGTAGTTTGACTCATGGAATTATAATAGGCAAACTCAGCTTGAGCTAATAACAAATCCCACTAATTACATGTTTTCCACGAAAGCTTCTTAATAAATTGCTCAGAGTTCTGCTTTGTCCATCAGTACGAGGATGACTAGCAGAACGAAATTGAAGTTGAGTCCCCATTTATCGCCATAATGTAGAAAAGTAAATCAAAGTTGACATCATGATAAGAAGTTATTGTCTTTGGAATATCATGTAGGCGCCGGATTTTATAAAAATAAAGCTCAGCGACATGTGACACATCAAGAGTTTTGCTATAACATACAAAATGTGCCATTTTAGAAAATCGATCAACCATGACCATGACTAAATCCTTGTTGTGTCGAGTCTTTAGCAAACTCATTACGAAGTCCATACTCATATCTTCCCATAGGCGATTGTGGAATAGGTAACGGCAAATAAAAACCAGTGTTTTGGCCTCCAGCTTTTGCAATGTGACAAATTTTGCATCATTCAATGAGCCGCTTTATATTTTTATTTATGGCCAATGAAAGTTCTCTCTAGCAAGCGCCAAAGTTTTGTCATGACCAAAATGAACCGCTAGTCCACTATCATGGGCTCAAAAACACACCACTGACGGTGAAACTGTGCAATGTAAAATTTTAAGAGTTTAATTTCCAAAATCTGGACTTCATACATATCTTTTAATACTTCAAATCCAACAACCTTGATTTGCATAGTAGAGAGAAACGTATGTTGGTGGCTTAAAGCATCCTTGACTCGATTTTGAGGAGAAACAAAAAAGATTGTAGAAATTTACTCCAAGCCGCATGTCAGCGATTAAGCTTCTGTTGAGAGTTCATGTGCTTACGTGCCTCATGGTCAGAGTCCAAAACACATTCTTTTGTTCATTGAAATAGGCGATGTGACGGCCTTCTCGACTGAGCACAACACCATGCTCACATTTGAAGCATCGAATTGTTACATATTTCAAAAATTTTGAGAATTCGAAAATTATTATTTTGTAACGGCTTCAATCGAAGTTATGACATGAAAGCCATTATTTTGCAATGATTCTTGTAATAGTTTTGTAACGGTTTTGTAACAGTTTTGTAATGGCTTGGATTTTAAATATCAAAGCCGGTTGGTTTAATTTGTTTTACACCAACCTCTCTTACATTTGCCAAATAACAAAACCTCCAACTACAATCTAACAGAGACGCCTCAATAAGAAAATTCTCTCTTCTCCTCCCATTTCTTTCTTTGCTAGGTTTTACATAAAATTTTATTGTTCGTGTTCCCTTTATTATTCAATGCAGAGTAAAGAGGAAGGTCTGGTGCATACTGAGAAGATAGCCACTAGAGCCTGTTGCACCAAGTTTCATACTCCAAGAGGCGGAATTATTCTTAAGGACAATGTTTCCACGCTTCAGATGGTTGATATTATTTTCATCTTCTCCAAATTTTTCCTACAGCAACTAACCTCAAAAACCAAGTCAAAGTTTGGTAGAGCTGACACTGGAGCTTCAATGATTATGTTCTTTAAGAGCTTAAAGCTCTTTCGCGCCTTTTCTCTCATCTGAAGCCTTTCTTCTTTAAGCATTTAGTATTTGGTGCAGCAATGGAACTAAAATTTTTTCTTATCTCCTGTAGAAAGAAGCGAGGCCATAAAAGCTTTGAATCTCATGAAGCGTTAGCAGCGCTCGCCATGAAGTGATAGCTTCAATCTTTTTAGGATCCATCTCTATTCCTGAGCTAATCATCACATAGTCAAGGAAAATTACCTCGTTAGTCAAGAAGTGACATTTGTTGAGATATTTTTACTCTCTCAAAGCTTGGAATACTTACAGGAGATGTATCATGTGTTCTTCCTAACCCTTACTGTAAATAAGCATGTCGACGAAAAGAACGACGACAAATCTCCCAATGAAAGGCCTATATATTTGATTCATTAGGTGCACAAAAGTACTTGGAGCATTTGAAAGGCCAAACGGCACGATGTGAGGCGCATATAAAATACTTGTGTGCTGTCATCCATCGTTTTACTGCTTAAGCTTTTGGTTCAGCATATAGCACAATCATATATCTTCATAACTTTCTACGATGCATGCTTGTTAACATTATGTAATACAGTTGGCGTGCGCATGACAATCTATCGTTCAAATGGTGCTGGATTCCATTATTGGACTGTAAGTGCTTTGTTTTGTTTTTTTTTAGTCGAAAGAAAGATTATATTCATCAGAATAATATCCAAGAGGTACATAGAAGGTATATAAGCCTAGCAAATCCCAAACAATTGCGGAACAAAGCAAATACTAGAACGCAAATAAAAAGCACAAAGCACAGTTTGCAGATAAAAGTATACTCTCATCCCTCAAGAATAGATCTGCCATTGTAAACGTTTAGCGGCCAATCACCCGATTCACTGATGAGCACACGCCGAGATCCCCGCTCCATTTGCAACGGCTTGCGGTGCGCATCTTGGTTCAATGTCCACATTACCATCGCCATGCAGTGACACCAATATTAATATTTTGTAAGCCCTTTGTTGAAATAGCAGGTCGTGGACTCCTCCGTTTGAAGAATGAGGATAGTAGACTACATATAGAGTAATTGCTATTATCGCATCTTCAATAGGCGTTGTCCTTCTTTTTTCTCACAAATAAAACAAGGAATAGGTTGGTGGACTTTATTGTTCTTTTTTTGTAAATGGTTTCTCATTTGTAAGACAAAAACGAAACATAACAGAAACAACTGAAATAAGAAGCGTGAAAGTAATGTTCAAGAACTAATCCGGATACTAAACAGAACCAAGCAAAAGAGAGGATCAACAAGCGGCACCGCCACCGACCGGTCAACAGTCGATTTGCTCACCAAAAACCAAACCTATTCTGGTCTATAAGTGTGGGGATGGTCGACTCAAAGTACTTTCACGTGTATAGTGACAGAGCTCCTTCGGGTCTCAAGATCTGCTACACGAACAACGCACATTAGTCCCGTTACCAATCGTTCCTCATCAATGTCTGGACGGCCACTCTACGATGTGTTCCTGAGTTTTAGAGGGCGGGACACGCGCAAGAAATTCACAGATTGCCTGTACAATGCATTGAGTGGTGCTGGGATTCGTGTCTTTAGGGACAAGGAAGAGATGGAGACAGGCGAAGAAATCAACGAACTGCTGATGGAGGCAATCAAGCAGTCCAAGATATCAATACCGGTCATCTCCAAGAACTATGCTAACAGCAAGAGCTGCCTCAGGGAATTGGCGCAAATGTTGGAGTGCAAGGAGGAGATGAATCACATCATAATCCCCATCTTCTACTACGTTAGCCCATCAAATGTACACAACTGCGAGGGCCCTTTCAAGGACCTGGCAGGGCTCAAGAAGCGCGGCATAGATGGCACATTGGTCAATTCCTGGAAGACTGCTCTCGGTAAGATCGGACAGTTGAAAGGATACCATCTCGACAAAAAAAGTGCAGGGTAATTTCCATGACACGCTCTGGTCTGAGATTGCTTTTCGCATGTATTTTGCCTAATTTTGGGTTAACATTAACTAGGTTAAACATATCCAATAACATATTCATTATTATGACTATGACAACGGCTGCATCACGTACAAATAGGTTTTCTTCCGCTTTCAATCCTCCTCTTGCCTGTCCTTTTTATTCCATGTACATTTGGCAGGTCTGATGGCAACGTCATAAAGCAAATTGTCGACCAAGTCCAGCGGAAGCTGAAGAAGAAGGACCTAATTGTGACGAAACAATTAGTCGAAGTCGCTCCTCATGTGCAAAACATAATGGCAAAGCTGAAGGTTGGCTACCACAATGGGCAAGCGGTTAAAATTGGGAACACACGTGAAATGGTGTTAGTACATGGCATATCCGGGGTTGGTAAGACTGTCCTGGCGAAATGCATTTATAATAAACTTCACCATCTGTATGATGCCTGTAGCTTTCTTGAGAATATCCAAGCCGATATTGAACGTAACGGCATCGTGTCTGTGCAAAACAAACTAATTTACGACCTCCATAAAGGAAATGCCCAAAAGTTTCGTGGTTCTAACGATGCTCTAACTCATATTAAGTACCGACTTTGCAACATGAAGGTCCTCGTTCTCCTTGACGATGTAAAAGATCGTGTACAGCTCAGGGAATTAGTCGGAGAGCCTGATTGGTTTGGCCTGGGGAGCAGGGTCATTGTGACATCCCAAAGAGGTGACCTTCTTGAAAACATCAGTGGGGCGGAAAGTTTTGCCCATGGACCGATGGAGCAAGATGAAGCTCTGAAATTATTCTGTAGGCATGCTTTTGGAACGGATTCTCCCCATAAGAAATTCAAAAAACTGTCGAGAGACATCGTTACAGCTACTCACGGGCTTCCTTTAACGCTCGAGCTGGTGGGTTCATATCTGAACCGTGCCAAAAAAAAAATGTGGCAGGAAACATTAGAAGCATTGGATAAAGCTTCTCATTATAGTGTCCGAGGAGCTTTGGAGAAGAGCTATAACAACCTAAATGCGAATGAACGGCAGATATTTCTTGATATAGCATGCTTCTTCACCGGAAAGGACAAGAGAATCCCCTCTTACATGTGGGATGACTTTAAGTATTTTCCTGCTAGGTCGATTCGAGCTCTTCAAACCCGGTCTTTGGTAGAAATTGGAGAGAACAAAGAACTATGCATGCATGAAATACTGAAGAACTTTGGCCGGGAAATTGTCAAGAAAGAAAACAAGAAACCTTGCAAGCGCAGTAGGCTGTGTGACCACAATGAAGCACTGAAAGTATTACAAACAAGGAAGGTAACTTCTGCGAGACATCTTTTCTTCTTTAGATGCCAATTGATGCTGTTAAAGATCCTTTTCGTTCAATTAGTCATCAAGTGCGATGCTGATAGACAGCTCTATTTTGTTTTTTTTGAAGTTAATTATGTTTTGCTTGATTTACAGGGTACTAATAAAGTTCAAGGCCTCAGGCTCGAGTTTGGTGACGGATCCAACGGGAATATCAGTTTCGAATGCGATCAATATGATGGTTTACAGAACTTGAGGTTCCTCAAGCTGGATTGGGCTAATATTTGGGGAGACTTTGAGGATCGTCTTTTGAGCTTAAGGTGGCTTGATTGGCAGGGTTGCCCTAAGAGTTTTGACGTTCAATCGCTAAATCTGAATTTGCAAAACTTGGTGATTCTTGATTTGTCGCGGAGTCAGGTTGACAAAGACTGGAGAGGTTGGAAGCTGCTACTTGAGGAGGTGTGGAATGAATTTACTATCTTCATACATGTTTTCTTTTGACGACGTATTTCTCAGGAGCTAGACATTTACTATCATATCCTCTTTATCTTGCAGGCAAAGAAACTGAAAGTTTTGAAACTAACTGGTTGTGTCCAATTGCGTGCCACGCCAAAATTTCCTCTATCAATGAAGCTGGAAAGACTTTTTCTTGAAGGTTGCTCTAGATTAGCAGTTATCGATCGGTCATTTGGTAATCTGAAGAAGCTGGTTTCTTTGAATTTGAAGGGATGCAGTCTCCTCCGTGAATTGCCAGATTTGGGTCCCATGAGAGGCTTGAAAGAGCTGGTGATTGATGGAACTTCCATTTCTCAGATCGATTTCCGAGAAGGTTTCATGAAGAAGCTTAAAATTCTCAGTGCTTGTGATTGTAAACATCTGACTAAAATATCCGATTCAATCAGAAACTTAAAGTCTCTCAAATATCTCACTCTAGACGGCACTACAATCCAGACCCTCCAAAAGTCCATCGAGTCGCTGGAGAAACTGATAACGCTGTCTCTGAAGAACTGCACGAAGCTAACCCATCTTCCAGAAGGAATAGGGAAGCTCACTTCACTGCAATTCCTAGATTTATCTTACACTGAGATTCAGAAGTTACCTCCTTCAGTCAACAAGTTGAAAGCTTTGAAAGTGCTCAGGATGAGGCATACTTTCATAGAGGAGTTTCCTGAAGATATACTAAATCTGGAGCAGCTGGAAGACATAGATTTCTCCTTGTGCGGGAGTTTGAAGGGGACAATCCACTATGATATTTGGAGATTGTCGTCTTTGGCAATCCTGAATCTGTCCAGAACAAAGATTTCCGGCCTACCTCCAAGTATTTCAAGACTTTCTCGTCTGGAGAGACTTGACATCTCCAGATGCCGCAAACTTCAGAGCCTACCCGAGTTGCCCTCCGTTTCGATTATTAGAGATGATAATTAGATTCTAGACAATTTTTTTCATGAATACCTTTCTATTGATCTTTTATTAGTGAATCATTAGCGTTTTTTAGACTATTTATGTTTGTATTATTCTCTTTTGTAATGAGCTTATCCTTTGAACTAATTGAAAATTGATAGCTTTCTTTGTTGTGCTTCCTGCGTGTTTACGAGTTGTGACTTGTGATTGATGTTTACTAGGGGTGTCAAAAGTACCCGCTCAAACATGACCCGACCCGAACCGACCCGATCCAAACAGGAAATTTTCATATTGGGTCAGGTTGGCCTTAACTTGTTTGGGTAACAGTAAAAACAAGACTTAAACTTGTTTTGGATCTACCCGAACCCACCCGAAACAAGCCCACCCAAAACAAACAAGATCCATTTGTTCTTCTTGTTCCAAGAGCGCCGGAAAGGCAACCACCGTTCATTCGTGCCCGTCCAAGTCCAACGAACTCAGTCCTCCTCCTCCCTCACTCGCCTCTGCACTCCGACCTTCGATTCCAACTTCTGTACTTCTTTGTTTGAACAGGCAAACAAGACAACCCAAGTTCTGTTTTCGGGGTGTCCTTCTTAAGAGAAGATGTAGGTGGTCAAGCAAAAATCTAAAACACGAACCCGACCCGACCCGACCCGACCCGACCCGATCGCGCAACTATATCATGTTCGGGTCTTGTTTCGGGTCGGGCCAAGCAAACATATGCATTGTTTCGGGTCGGGTCGGGTATCATGAAAACCCGACCCGACCCGACCCGTTGACACCCCTAATGTTTACCAGTTTCCACCCTGCAGCCAGATTATCTGATCATAAAGCAAATCTATTGCAATCCTCTCAAAATTTGTAGTCACATTTACGAAATCAATCAAAAGTGCATCACAACCACTAGCTTTGAGAAAAGATTCGTCAATTAATTTTCCAAATTGTCCAGGCATTAAAAATCAACTTCCTATCGAAATCCTAGTTTTCCTCGTTCAACAACTTCCATTTTATCATGACAAACCTGATTTCATGATCTGTATCAGTTTCAATCTCACCGCTACTGCAAAAATCATCACCAACTTCAACTTCAAAATTGTCCACCTTTCCAAATGGAAATTTGAAAATCTCAGTATCTTGTTGTTGAGGCTCGTAAACGACACTCTGAGCTCGTACATCACAACCACTAGCTTTTGATGTGTTGCCTTCATCAAATTTATCGCGCGGTGGGTAACTGCAATTCCCAAGACGATTTTCACCGCATCAATCACCAACCACAGTAGCTGCAACTCCATAACCACCACGACCATAGTAGCCATCACAATCACCATGAAATTTTTTCCAACCGATCTATCCTGCCTAGCACCACACGAATTATATTCCTCCAAGTAGGCTGCAATTTGACAAACGGGATGGAACACGCGAAATAAACTGGGTTAGAATCTAATATCATATTAAAAAGTCCAATTCAAAAATTTAAGTTTAAACTAATAGGTGGATAGTGAAGAGATATGGGATATTGCAGCACAATCATCGTTTTATAGATTGTTGAGATACTCTAATACTACAGTCAAAGAACTTGCACCTTCCAATTTTCCCTAGCGAGATGATTGTCCCCAAAGCCTCTGTTACCGGACATCGTGTTCCCAAGATCTTCCTACTTTGATACCAAATTGGCGCAATATATGGGAGTAAGCAATATATCGGAGTAAACACGTGTTTTCAGCTCGTAAACACGTATGAAGGGCAATAGAGAAAAATTCTTAATTTTTCATTAATTCGAATGATAAACTCATTACAAAAGAGAATAATATGGATACAAATAACCCCAAAATCCCGAAGATTCTTGCCATAGTTGGAGGGGAAAATTTCAAATCAGTACCTAAAGTGGGTTATTTTCTCAAAAAAGGGTCCAAAGTGGACATAGTGTCAAATAAGGGCCTAAAGTGCCTAATCAGTTTCAAATAGGGGCCCGAAATACCCAATTAATTTCAAGTAAGGGCGAGGGCCGCCCTCGCCTGACGCCGGCGAGAGCAGCCTCCGCTTGAGGCCAGCAACCTCCGCCAGCCCCGGCTATGGCCGACGGAGGGAAAAGAGGAAAAAAAAAAGAAAAGGAAAAGGAAAAAGAAAAGAAAAGAACAAAAAAAGGAAAAAAGAAACCAAAAAAATTTAAAAAGTAAAAGACAAAATTGTCCTTGTTCCGATCACTGGAACAGACATGTGCTTGCCAGCCGGTGAGCATTTGACCGGCCGCGCGAACCCAGACCCTTACTTAAGACTAATTGGGCACTTCGGGCCCCTATTTGAGACTGATTTAGCACTTCAGACCCTTATTTGACATTATGTCCACTTTGGACCCTTTTTTTAGAAAATAACCCCACTTTTGGTACTTATTTGAAATTTTCCCTAGTTGGAGTTTGGATCGAGCCCAGAGATTGAGATAGGTTGGAGACATGTTTGGAGTTGTTTGTGGTGTGTGGAGTGCGGCCACATGTGCCTGGTAACGGGAAAGTTATACAAAAAATCCTAAATTTATTGCAATTTTAATGGGAAAATTACCAAAAAAGTCCTAAATATTTTGCAATTGTGCCAATTCAGTCATAAACCTTTTTTTTTTTCCAATTCAGTCCTAAACCTTTTGCATTTATGCCAATTCAGTCCATTCGGGCACTTTTGGCCTGCCGGCACTGACGTGGACGCGGAGCGGCTGACATGGCAATATTTTAATAATTTTTTTTATTATTTTTTGATTTTATTTTATTTTTTTCTCTTTTTGTTTTAAAAAAATTCGAAAAATTATTAAAATATTATCACGTCAGCCGACCACGCGTCCACGTCAGCGCTGGATTGGCACAATTACAAAAGATTTAAGACTTTTTTAGTAATTTTTCCCAATTTTAATCGTACTAAGGATCTGCTAGCATAACGGCACCGGCATGGGTAAATTGTAACGGTGCAAGCTAGACCGCATGATTTATTTTGCAAAGGATGGACAACCAAGTGGAGAGAAAATATTAGGTACGTGTGGAATTTACTTGAGCCCACTTATCAGTTACCACGTGTACATGACTGGGCCCCACGTCTGATTCCATCTTTCCACTCTGCACTACTCTGCTCCTGCTACTCTCTCTTTGAGTTGGGAATTACATATGAGTTTTCTTTCTTTCTGTAAATTCTGAGATCATACAAGTCTATTAGAATACGATTTTTTGAGTTGGGAGATCAAGAAGGAAAGAAGCTGTGTTTTTTTCTTTCTGAGTTCGTTGGCATTGATTGAAATAAAAAAAGGCGAGGGGAAGTGTGTTTCTTCTTCTTCTTCTTCTTGGTCAGAATGGTTTCCTTTGTTGCGTCTGACTCGAGATCTCTGCTTTGTGTTTTCTATTTTTCATTCCTTTATTTCTTTAATTTCCATAGAGAGAAGAGAAAGAGCAGAGCAGAGCGTCGGACGTGGGGTTCCCAATATCTTTTCACTGAGGGGGGATCCTTCTTAATTTTCCAAGGAAATTCCTTAGCAAAATATGTGGCGCAGACTGCACCGTCACTCTTGAAAGAGTGATGGTGCCATCAGCTTATCACTTTTCTTGTCTTCAACCTTTTTACGTGTTACCAATTCAATCAATTTAATCAATTTTAATCGAAAATCATTAACGTACGTACATAAATATATTTTAATAATATTTTAATATTTTTCTAATTTTTTTATTTTCTTTTGCCTTTTTTTTCTTTTGTTCTCTTTTCATTCTTTTTTTTTTTTTTTAACTATGGCCGGTCCTTGCCCGGCCTTGCGTAGATCTGGGCCAGGTTAGCCTTGCCGGCCGTGGGTGAGGGCGTTGCAGCCGTTGTTAAGTTTTCTTATTTCTCTTTTACCCCTTGGTACTATTCATCATCTCCTCCCCGCAAAGCCTATGGCAGTTCTCGTTGCTCCGCCAACGCTCGTCGAGGGTCAGGCGACCTTGGCGACGCTCGCCTAGGTCGGCCGACGCTCAATTTGCAGATCTGGGATTCAGGGAGGAAGTGGCTTGAACTATCGGAGCAGCTAGAGGGACGCCGGCATAATCGTCGCCCGGGGTTGTGACCTTAGGTGAGCCAGATTTGGATGAGAGCCAAGGTCGCACTCTCTTTACCTCTCCTATCTCTCTCTCTCTCAATCGACGTCGCAATCCTCTGTGTAGAAGCAGATTGAGTGGGGCGAGCGTGGGCATCATGAGGGCGGTGAAGCTGAAACACATCGAAGCGACTCCCGAGACTTTCAAGGAGTTAAGCCAAGTCATTGAGGCTTCTTCTGAGGGCGACGAGTTCAGTCATAAGGATGGTCAGGTCAACCTCAGTTATGGAATTCGTTTGATGTCCAACCCGTGGCCGTGCAGGCTGGCCTCGCCCAGACCATCATGGTCGCAGGCGAGGCCACCTTGCCTAGATCTGGGCGAGATTGGCCTCGCTTGTGGCCGTAATGCCCTTGCCCAGATCCAGGCAAGCTCGGTGAGGGCCGCGACCATCGCTTGTAGCCGACGAGGCGTCTTGGCCCTCGCCTGTGGTTGACAATGGCCCAACGACCCTCGTCGACATAGTAAAAAAAGGGTTAATGTCACAAAAAACCCCAAACTGGTACACATGTGATAAATTTATCATAAATTAATTTTTTTACCACAAAAAACCCCAAACTGGTATACCTGTGATAAATTTACTCCAAACTAATTTTTTGACCACAAAAAATCTCAAATTGGTACATTTCCCTTCGTTACTTTCCATTAAATTAGATTAATACCACAAAAAATCACAAACTGGTATATATATGACAAATTGAGAGTAAAACCCAAAACTAGTACGTCCGTCAATTGCCGTATGTCATTTAACAAAGCAATTTGACAGTAAAATTTAACGAAAATTAACGGAGGGTAAATTAAAAGTTTTGGACTTAATTGGCAAAATGTGAAAATGTTTTGGACTCAATTGGTATAATTAAAAGTTTAATAAATTTAGGACTCAATTAAAAAGGTTTATGACAATTTTCCCCTAGTAGCTTGTAC